GGCCTAGCTCATCGCCATACGGTGCTCCTGTTCTCTTCGTCCGGAAGAAGAACAAGGACCTGCGGTTGTGCATCGATTATCGCAAGCTCAACGCGCAGACGATCWGGAACGCCGGCCCTCTCCCACGCATCGACGACCTTCTCGAGCGATTGGGCGGCGCCCAGTTTTTCTCTAAGCTGGATCTCAAGTCAAGGTACCACCAACTCGAGATTCGCAAGGAGGATCGCTACAAGACCGCGTTAAAGACTCGGTATGGGCATTTCGAATGGCTGGTCATGCCATTTGGCCTTACGAATGCCCCAGCCACTTTCCAAGCAGCTATGACGACGGAGTTCCAACACATGCTGGATCGTTTCGTACTTATCTACCTCGACGACATTCTGGTTTACAGCCGGAGTCTGGACGAGCATGTGGAACACCTGCGCACCGTTTTGGAGCGGCTACGACAGGCCAAGTACAAAGCAAACTGCGACAAGTGCGAGTTCGCACAGCAGGAGCTGGAGTACTTGGGACACTATGTGACGCCGCAAGGCATCCGTCCGCTTGCGGACAAGATCGAGGCCCTACGAGTATGGCCTGAGCCCACCAACACCACGGACGTTCGTTCATTCATGGGGTTGGCGGGCTACTATCAGCGTTTCATCACCGGATACTCAAGGATTGCCGCACCTCTGACGAGACTACAATCGCCAAAGGTGCCATTCGTATTCGATGACGACGCGCGCCAGGCTTTCCAAGCACTCAAGACGGCCATGCTCATGGCACCYGTCCTTAGCATCTACGACCCCACTCTGCCTACGAGAGTRACGAMTGACGCTTCCGGTTACGGCATTGGGGCAGTCTTGGAGCAGCACGACGGCGAGGATTGGCACCCTGTGGAGTATTTCAGCCACAAAGTGTCTCCCATCAATTCTCTGGATGATGCAAGGAAGAAGGAGCTGCTTGCGTTCGTCATGGCTCTCAAGCGATGGCGGCACTTCCTTCTTGGGCGTCGTAGGTTCACATGGGTCACGGACAATAACCCATTGACCTACTACAAGACGYASGACAYRRTGAGCARCACGATTGGACGGTGGATGTACTTCATCGACCAGTTTGACTTCACACCGAAACACGTTGATGGCCTCTCCAATCGCGCAGCAGATGCACTTTCGAGACGACCTGATCTTTGCGCTATGACGCATCACGCCTTCGCGTTCGACGAGGACCTCCAGCGACACTTCATCAGGGGCTATCAGTCTGACCCAGAGTTTGCTACGTTGTATGCGCAGCTATCTTCGGATCACCCGCCAGCCAGCCACTATCGCATTGCTGACGGGTACTTGCTCCTCCACTCGAGAGGCAAGGACTTACTGTGTGTCCCACGCGACCGCCGTCTTCGGACTCGCCTTCTCGGCGAGTATCATGATTCGCGACTCGCCGGCCATTTCGGAGTCAATCGCACGATTGCACGGCTTCGACAACGATTCCGATGGCCCGACCTCATTTCCGATGTCATGCGGTATTGCGATTCTTGCGAAGTTTGCCGACGCAGCAAACCCCGCAACCGAAATCCCTATGGCGAGTTACGCCCGATGCCTATCCCCCGGGAACCCGGTATCTCCATTGTTATGGATGTCACCGGTCCGTTACCTCGAGACCGGCTCGGGCACGACGGCATCCTCACGGACCGATTGAGCAAGTACGCACGTTTTCTTCCTTGCAAGTACTACTCCACGGCTCCCGAGCTGGCACGCCTCTTGCACACCGGTTGTATTTGTGGCCACGGCGTACCCGAGGACATAGTCAGCGACCGCGACACTCGTTTCATGTCGACTTTTTGGACCTCTCTCATGCAGGAGTCGAGCACGACGATGAAACCCAGTTCGGCTCGGCATCCACAGACAGACGGGCAGACGGAGCGGGCACATCAGACCGCTCAAATGATGCTTCGTACGCTCATCCGTCCGGACCAGAAAGATTGGGTTGACCGCCTCCCCGACATCGAGTTCGCCTACAACACTTCAGTGCACCCGGCGATCGGTGTGACTCCATTCGAGTTGCACCACGGTGGACGGAAAGGCCGTATCTTCGCTGATCTTCTCCTCCCTCGACCAGCCGACATTGACGCCGCTTGCTCTCCCGCTTCCGTCCGGAAGTACAGGGAATTGCTGGCTCAAGCCCGCGCAAACATGCAAAAGGCTCAAGTCCGCATGCAGCAGCAAGCCAACAGGCGCAGCGTACCATGTCCCATCCGCGCCGGAGATCGAGTTTGGGTCTCCTCGGAAGAGTTTGCATTGGAACAGGATGTCTCACGCAAACTACTCCCTAAGTGGTTTGGACCATGGACAGTGACGTCAGCCGCGGGCGATGAGCCCGATGGCCCTTCATTTGTGATCGACATTCCTGTGCATGTGACGGTCCATCCAGTCTTTCACGCGTCGAAGCTGGCAACATATACACCAGCTAAGAGCGATGACTTCCCGGGCCGACGATCGCAGGACCCTCCTTCTATGGATGGTCATCAGGAGGTTCACCGCGTCATCTCAGATCGCAAGTATGGCAGCAAGCCGCGCCAGTACAAAGTTACATTCAGAGCATGCGATCCCGACGACACTCGGTGGATTTCAGGAGCAGATTTGAAAGCGTCTGCACCGCTGATCTACGCTCACTACGAGCGACAGAGGTTAGCCAAGGGACCTCCACGACCTGCCCCTCCCACCCGGACTGTGGTCCCTCCCTCAGACAGACAGCTTCGCCCTCGTAGGTAAGCTCGGTCTTTCAAGGAGGGGGGG